ATCTAAAAAATAAAATAAAAAATTAAAATTAAAAAATAAAATAAAAAATAAAATTAAGAAAAAAATAAAAATAAAATTAAAAAAATAAAATTTAAAAAACTAAAATAAAAAATTAAAATTAAAAAATAAAATAAAAAATAAAATTAAGAAAAAAAATAAAAATAAAATTAAAAAGATAAAATTTTAAAAAAAGAAAATAAAAAATAAAATTAAAAAATAAAATTAAAAATAAAATTAAAAAATAAAATTAAAAATAAAATTAAAAATAAAATAAAAAAATAAAATAAAAATAAAAAAAAAAAAAACAAAAAATAAAATTAAAAAATTTTAAAAATTAAAAATTAAAAAATTTAAAAATTTAAAAATAGTAATAAAAATAAAATATCCTCCAAGTTCCCCAAAAGCTCAGAATGCTCTTGGTGTCCTGCTCAGGAATAAAAATCTTTCTCCTGACTGGGGGAAGGAGCTGGAAAAATGAGAATTCTTTGTTGGTGCCTCAAGGGATGGTTTGGGCTGGGAGGGACCTTAAAGCTCCTCCTGTTCCACCTCCCCAAACCCCCCTGGACACTTCCAGGGATTTTTTTTTGGAATTTCCATCGTTGGATTTATTTCTTTATTTGACATCTCCAAATCCATCGGGGATTTTTGGGTTTAATTCCATTTAGGATTTTAAAAAACTGGCCTGGCTGAGCTGCCTTGGCCTCCCAAAGGCTTTGGAGGAACTTTTGGGATTTTTTGGAACTTTTTGGGAATTTTTGGAACCTTTTGGGAATTTTTGGAACCTTTTGGGATTTTTTTTTGGAACCTTTTGGGATTTTTTTGGAACTTTTGGGATTTTTTTTTTTTGGAACCTTTGGGACAGCCCTGGCATGGCTCAAATCAAATGGAATTTTAAAATGGGATGGAAAAAATCAAATAAAATGAAATCTCAATTTTTTCCCCCACATGTTTAAGATTTAAAATTCAGATCTGATATTTCCCCGAATTAAATGGGGAATAAGAATCATCCTGATAATTAATTCTACATGATTATTCTAATATCTCTTCTAATAAAAATAATACCTTGGAATTTCTTATTCTGAGAATTCAGCTCAGAATTCTCCTGTTCCAGGAGGAGATCCTCTGGTTTTTTTTTGTTTGTTGCTGTATATGGATGTCTTTCATTTTTTTTTTTCCTTAAAAAGGATTTTAGGTCTTTATGGATGTTTTTTTTTTTTTTTTTTTTTTTATCCCTTAAAAAGGTTTTTATGTCTCTTTCTTATCTGTCTGAAGTGTGATGGTGACAAAAAATGGGAATGGTGGCAGCTGCTGTGTCTGGAACTGTGACTTAATAATAATTAATAATTAATAATAATAATGATTCAGAGATGTGAATTAAATCTGACTCTGGGCTGCTCAGCAGGTTGCCCAGTATAACCCAGTACATCCCAGTGCTCCACTCTGTGCCCCTGAGGTCGGGACTGGGGGAAAAACAGGGATGGGATGGGATGGGATGGGGGGAAATGGGATAAAACAGGATTGGGATAGGGGGAAAAAAAAAAAAAAAAAGGAGAAAACATCTGGAATGGAGGAAAGTGGAGGATTCTGGAGCTGGGATTGGGAAAAATTCCGGTTTTGGAATGTGGAAAAAACCTTGGGAAAAACAATTCCTGGGAATCCCCAGGAGTGGTGACAATTTCCCCCCATTTTCCCTCATCCCAACCCTGTTTTATCCCATTTCCCCATCTCATCCCATCCCCATTTCCCCCAGTTTTTTTCCCCGTTTGTTTTTTTTTTTCCCCAGTTTGGTTTTTCCCAGTTTGGTTTTCCCCAGTGGTTTTTTTTCCCCAGTTTGTTTTTTCCCCATTTTGGTTTTTTCCTCAGTTTTGTTTTTCCCCAGTTTGGTTTCCCCCAGTTTTTTTTTTTTCTCCCAGTTTTGTTTTTCCCCACTTTTTTTTTTTTCCCCATTTTTTTCCCCAGTTTTTTTTCCCATTTGTTTTTCCCAGTTTGGTTTTTTTCCCCAGTTTGTTTTCGTTTTCCCCAGTTTTT